GGAGCCGGCTAACATGTTGGAAACAGGTCTGAAGAGTCGAACAAATCACAGAGACCACACCTGGGAAGCAGGTCAGAAACAGATAACAAGGACAGGGAATGGGTAAATGATGAAAAAGCCATTCGCACGTAACAACACTCACAATCTGATAACTGACTAGTGGCTGCAAAATACAGATAGGGGTTGAATAGTTAAAGAAAATCAGGTTCTATGTCTTTACCAATTTACCTTTGGTAAACTTCCTGAGAGAAAAGACTATTCGACTGCAACCAGGTAATAAGGGAATGAGGAAAAGGTAAGCGGGCTAATGTAGGAGTCAGGTGACAGGGTCCGATGGGAGAAGGGAGGCATCTAGTGGATGAATAGAGAATGGCAAGTGCGGAGGGATACTAAGATACAAGGTGCCTTGGGTAAGAGAGAAGTGACTGAACCCAATGAAACATCTGAATCTGTGGCCTATTTAGGTGCTAAACCCCCCCCCCCCCCTTGAAGAAAAAGGAACTTTTAACTGTCTTTTTAACAATCTCAAAGAAATATAGATGCCTCTATATGACCTACATAATAGACTTCCAGTTATTTCTATGAACACTTTTGTCCTCAGGGAAATCAACAGAAAATTACAATAGATACTTTAAGATTTCTAAGACCAGCGCCTTTTCTTGCAGGTGAATAACCTGCAAGAAGGGGGTGCTAGTGAATTGTCCCACCGGGAAAACTCCCGGTATTCCCAATGGCTAGTCCGCCCCTGGGGCCTGTGTATTTTTTTTTATTCTCCTTATAAGAGTTCTTTGTTTCTTATTAATTCAATTCAATTCAAGTTTATTTATATAGCCCAAAATCACAAATCCTATTTGTCTCAGAGGGCTTCACAAGTCAACAAACAATTAGAGGTTAACAGTTGTATAATGTAATAAATAATAAATGCAAAAAAACTGTAGTTTTTGTCTATGATATAACAGTAAATACAACTTTATAAGCTATCAAATATGTTTTGCGGCTCCAGACAAAACAAATAGTTGGAAAAGGGGGAAAAATGGCTCTTTTGGTCAAAAAGGTTGCAGACCCCTGTCTTAAAAGTACAAAAAAATAAAATCTGTTGCATCTATTTAGAAGTGATCTGATCAGGACTACTTCCACACATATATATAAGTACTGTCAACATAATGAGAGAAGCAATGGGAAATGTTTGCCTTTTGTTTTTCAACAGTCACTTAAAGGGCCCATGTCATGGCCATTTCCACTGATCATAATTACATTGTTGAGGTATACTAAAATAGATTTATACTGTGCAATTTTCCAAACTCACATTGGTTTCGCATACAGCATCTCTGTCAAGTATGTGTATTCAGCAGTATTCACTCTCTCCACTAAACGACTCGTTGGAGCTCTTGCCCCCCCCTCCCTGTGAGCCTAGTGTGCTCCGATTGGTCAGCTCGGCCACTCTGTTCTGATTAGTCAACCACCAGAGAGGCTCCGCCCATGTCTAACAGTGCGGCTGCTCTCAGCGGAACATCTAACAGTGCGGCTGCTCTCAGCGGAACATCAGTCTTATCATGGCGTCGGTACAGCAGTATATTTGATACGCTAACTAACCGAACTGTACCTACAACTGTTGTTATAGAAGAGTGTGACGGCCCCAGGGCCTTTGTCTTACGATGGGGTGGAGCTGAAGAGGCTAATCAGCGCGATCACGGACACCTGGCCGGAGCCGAGGTGCTAGCCAGCTGCCCGGAGTCACACGGGCCCCTCTCTCTCTCCCCTATCTCTGCATTTACCACAATAAATGTGCCGTGGTTTTGTAAACTCGTGTATGTCTCCTTGTCTTTCCGTTGTGGCCTACGAGCCGGTCATAACAAAGAGTAAGTTATTTTTACCTGTTATAAACTACTACTGTTTGATGAGAAATCAAATCATGGTTTGCTATATATGAATGATATGTTATAGGAGCAAATAATTCAGGGAAGAAAGGATAGGCCTACTAAGTATTTCCATTAAACTTTATTTTTAGAAATGTACAAAATGAACGTAAATATACATATATACACGGTATATCGTCAATTACTCCCCGTTGTCGGCATCTTGCCTATAGCAGCCGGGGCTTGAGGCCTCAGTGTGGTAGTCCGGTCCCCGTCATGTATTGTCCGGCAGGATCTGGCTGGATGAAATCAAATGCAAATCACAAAATATTAGAGAAACTTAGTTGTTTTAGATTCGTTAGTAGTAGTTGTGGTAGGAGTGTGGATCTATCTAATGAACAGCTTGCCTGCTAATATGCTAACCTAGCTTTGTTTACCTTGGTAGCTAACACGATATGAACGTTAGCTTGGAGGAACGGCAACTATAATGGAGTGTAATAAAACTACTATGAACAAAAGCTAGTGGTTCATATTAGGCTAGCAATAACGTGTTTATAATTGCAATATTATACGGGTATTCTGCTACGTTTGGTCATACATTGTAACTTGCATGAATACATTGTTTTGCGCTAGCATACAGCTAGCCTCGTTAGCTATACATGCAGTATGTACATGTACTGTCACAATGTACGGTAAATCACCCGGAGTATACTGTATGAGTATTCCGTGTGTGTGACTGCAGACATTCTCATGCCATGACAAACATGTAAGGCCATCTGCTGACATTGTAGTTGATATATTTAAACGCTAGCAACGTAGCATAACAAAAATGTTTTTCCGACCAAACTAAGGTCTAGCTCCGTCGGTTAGATCGCTAGCATACACGCTACGCCAGCTATAATGTAATTACGTTTCGCGACTGACCGTACGGTAAATCACCAGGAGTATACGGTCTATGACTATTTCGTGTGTGAATGCAGACATTATCCAGCTATGAGGAACATGTATGTAAGGTGATCTGCTAATATTGGAGTTGATATATGGAAACGCTAGCAACTTAGTTAGCCCAGTTAGCACTATGTCAATGACTTTAGGAGTCCGGTTTACACATTTAACCAGTCGTGGTAGATACTTTGTTTGATAAATACACAAATAACAATGCAAACTTACAGGTTGTGTACGCGAATCTTCCCCTACTCCAAACGGTCCAAACAAACTATAGCCTCGTTGTTTGTGTAGCTCGGTAGCATACACGCTCGGAACGCCAGCTATAATGTAATTACGTTTCGCGACTGACCGTACGGTAAATCACCTGGAGTATACTGTCTATGAGTATTTCGTGTGTGAATGCAGACATTCTACATACATGTATGTAAGGCCATCTGCTGATATTAGAGTTGATATGGAAACGCTAGCAACTTAATTAGCACAGTTAGCACTGGCTTAGCAGTCCGAAACATGTTTACACATTTAAACAGTCGTTGTAGATACCTTGTTTGATAAATACACAAATAACAATGCAAACTTACAGGTTGTGTACCCGAATCTTCCCCTGCTCCAAACGGTCCAAACAAGCTGTGCATATCCGGCCTCAAACTGGGCAATGTTTTGGAAGCTTTCGTCTGTGAAATGCCGGTTCTTTGAACCTCTGAAGGAACAGTGTTAAAAATAAATTTCAACCACTGACTTCGTCGTGGTTCTTCCGTCGGTAGGACAAACAGCTCAGATTTCTCCTCACATTTCAGGAAACAGGTCCTTGGCAGTGGCATGACTGGATCGATTGTGAACTGAACCAGAGCTTCCAACAGTAAATGCTGGCAGAGGGTGCGGCCAGCGCCGCTGGGTGTGGCCATAGCTCTTCGGGATTGGTCCATTTCGTTCCGGGTACCGCATGACATCAGGCCGTACCCGGAACTAAATGGAAGACTCAAATGGGCAGTGACGTATCTCCAACGAGGCGTTTTGGGGAGGTATTTTCTGTGTTAGAGTTTTACTCGCTACAGGGTGTACTTTGAGGGTTTTGACTCTGCACACTGTTTACATGCATAAAAACCTTCATAACACACAAGGGGACGGGTAATAACCGGAAAAGCATGACATGGGAGCTTTAACTGTCATGGTTTTGGGTTTATGTTGCCATTTTCTACCTTTATTTTGAAATGTTTTCCTCCTTGTGTCTTGTCTGGTCCTACTTCCTGTGCTGGCCTTCCTGTCTTTAGTTTCCCTCCTGTGCCTGATTGTCTTATTGTGTCCACCTGCTGCCTGTGTTTCACCTCCCCTTCCCAGCTGTGATTTGGCTTGTGATTTAGTCCTGTGTTTCCTTCAGCCAGCGTTTTGTCTGATCATCGTCCATACTGCTTGTTCCCTGCCTGTCTGTGAGTTTGTTCCTGTTTCTCGTGCTCCCCGGTTTGCTAATGCTAAGTTGTTTCTTGTTTTTTCTTTTTAATCTGCTTTTTGATTAGAGCTCGCTTTTTGTTATTACCTTTTGTCTTTTTACTGCATTTGGGGTCGAGACTTACCCCAACACCCTGACAGTAACTGTATGTTCCGCTGTTTACGTTCCTCAATATAAAGTAGAATCAGCATTGTTTTGGTTACGTGTTGTGAAAACCAGGTATGGTACTGGCTTATGTTCAAACTGTAGATAACCTTGTAAAAGTTTGGAAAAAAATGTCAAGTGACTGGCCCAACTGAGTGTTGTACATGTATGTAAATGCTGCCATCCTGTGGTCCCACTGCAGAACAACACCTTGTTTGTCCAAAGAGGAAATTCAGAAAGGAAGTAAGCAAAAGTTAAATTTAAAAAGGAAGATGTACATAATTAATCAATTATAACGGTCTGCAGACTGAGAATAAACTTGTGATTGTAATACGAGTGCGTTTTGTATTGTATGGTTTCGTGAAAGGAGCCTTCAAATAAAATGTATTATCCTTTCAAATAAGACCTCCAAATCCTACAGCATTACATGTTGTGTGTTCAACACGAATAATATTGCACACTTTATGTTACTCTAAAGTTTGCGCAGCTTTCGTGATCTTAACAGCTTAAAACCCAAAGTGGCTCATTGCCAGCTTTAGAGTTTCATAAGTTTTGTTTCTTGATTATGAGAAGACGGGCTGATGCACGTCTCCACAGCATGGGCGCGTGCAGCACTTTCTTTGTTTCACTTCTGTGTAGTAGGCTACAAATACAGCAGAAGACAAAGAGAGCCTCAGTCCGCTGCAGCATGAAGTCCGGTAAGTTTCAGTTACTCTCCTGCTGGAAACATTTAACTTGTTCTGTAGATATACTGCAACTACTTAGTTAATGAAGAGCGTGACACTGAAATGTCAGCAAGGAATAGGCTACCTCATGTTTCATGTTTTTTATTGTTTTGATTATCTGCATGAAAACACTATTTGATTCCGTGAATGTAAAGTTAATATTTGTGTTTTTTCTTAGGTTTGAAAGTGACACGTCTACGATGAACAGAGAAGGACCAGAGCTTTCAGGTAGAATCCCATCATTTATATACAAGGTGTTGAAAAGCAGTGGGGACATGAGGGTTCAAAAGGGCGTAGGCTGCTAGAGAGTCCTAAATACCGTTGTTGTATCAGCATGAATCAACACACCGTGTTGTGTGCACACCTCAAACTGTTAAACCTACTTATCGGTGCATTTTTGAGTCATTGAAGTTTCTGTAAGCATGTTTATTTTTTTGAGAATGCACATGTTATTCTCTTTTTAAAAGTGGTGGGGACAGACTCAGCCATTTTAAAAAGGAGGTGGGGTTATTTCCCCAGTGCATAAGATAGGTATGCAGAATAGTATATTTTTCATTTAAAAAAAGGGACACATGATAATGTTGTATGAGATTAAAATATCTGGCACGGCAATAATACGAATATAAAGTGTATATATATATATATATATATATAAGTGTAATATTAAATGAAAATTCTCTCCCATGAGTGCAGAGATTGAAGTGTGCAACAGGAAACAGGAAGTGGGTCGCCGCCCTGTGTTTCCAGTTGAGGTGGATGCCTCAGTAATTTAGGAAGTGTTTAAAGATTGGCAATAAATAATGTTTACCTTTTTATTCTGTTAGTCTTAGGTAATCCCTAGTGTGGTGAAATGAAATTGTAATAATTAATATAAAAAAGCAAAGTAGGCTTACTTTTTAATTATTGTAAAAATAAATCAGCCAAAGATTAAAGTACCTAGAGCAAAGGCATACAAGGATATCATAATCCCAAAACTATATTTACCCCCTATATATATTAAAAGATACAGTAAAACAGAATAAAATGATAATATTGATCCAAACATAAGAAGTGAGATGTAAAGATAATTTACAATATAATTAGGTTAACTATTTAAAAATAAGAAGGTAAAGAAAGTCATAATGTGCAATACAAATATAAAATATTGACATAAACATAAGTAAAGCAAAAATGTGCAATGCAAAATATAAAGTTAGTTAAAACTTGCAATAAAAAAACATTAATATAAAAAAGATATTTATATTTACATGAGAAGTTTAATTCAAAATATGCAATAAAAATATATCGATAAAGATATTGACAATAAAATAAGAAGTTGAAGTAAACATTTGCAATAATAGGAACAAATAAATAATGATAGACTACATTAAAAAAGTTGAAGTAAAATTTCCGATAACGGATCAAATAAATACAAATATTTAAACGTAAGAAGGTAAATTCAAAATATGCAATAAAAACATTAAAATAAAGATATTTACATCAGTCTTGCAAGTACTTTATACTGGGTTATGACTATTACATTATTTGCAGCACAAGATGGTCCTCATAGTCCAGCCACTTAATGTTGGTCGAAGTAAATTAGTGCAACCAACTTTAAAATACCAGCTTTCTGTAAATTTTCAAAATGAAACACAAATCCGACAGAACAAAATGTCTTACTGCATGTTGGTGTTTCTAAAAGTAGTTGCAGCCCTACTCAAAATAATGTAAACTCACAGATGGAATGAAGAAGGTGTGTATAACAGACTAAACTAGAAAATGCATTTCCTGCAGAAAATGCGTGCGAATGCTGTAAACTGTGAATTAATTTAGCTGAAAATGCAGAAAAAGCTGAATATGTTATTAGCTGAATGGTAGCTGCTTTTAGGAAAAAAAATGCAGAAAAAGCTTAATATTTAAAAGAAAAGGTTTAAAAAAACATGTATAGCCTTGATGTCCTGAAATAGCCGAATAATGTAATAGTTGAATGGTTTCTGCAGCTGAAAATAGGCTGAAGGAGTTAAATATCAGATGTAAGTAGTAGTGAATGAATTTGTATTAAGATGAGAAAAGAAAGTAAAAAGGCTTGGGAAAGCAGCAGAATATTTGAACTACAAACTTTTGAACTAACTTGATGGTGAATTATCTGTCGCCATGGCAACGGCATTTGATGACACCCCATAATACGCTTAGATGTGTTGATGGCTGCATCGTTACAAACCTGTGAAGTTTTGGGCCATTTCGAGCATTTTCACTGAAGTTATGAGAAAACCGTGTTTCATGGTGAGCATTGTGTTGCCATGGCAACGGCATTTGAAGAAATCTCAAAACTGTCCCGTAGATGTCTTCACGGCTGGACTGTTAGCACACATGTGAAGTTTGAACATTTTCATAGGAGTAATACATTACATTAGGTTACATTACTCTCTCTCTCCTCTTGATCGCCCTCTCTCTTCTCTTGATCACCCTCTCAATCTTCTATCGCCCTCTCTCTCTTCTCTCTCTCTTCCCTTGCTCGCCCTCTCTCTCCTCTTGATCGCCCTCTCTCTCTCCTCTTGATCGCCCTCTCTCTCTCCTCTTGATCGCCATCTCTCTCTCCTCTTGATCGACCTCTCTCTCTCCTCTTGATCGCCCTCTCTCTCTCCTCTTGATCGCCCACTCTCTCTCCTCTTGATCTCCCTCTCTCTCTCCTCTTGATCGCCCTCTCTCTCTCCTCTTGATCGCCCTCTCTCTCCTCTTGATCGCCCTCTCTCTCTTCTCTTGATCGCCCTCTCTCTCTTCTCTTGATCGCCCTCTCTCTCTCTTGATCGCCCTCTCTCTCTCTTCTCTTGATCGCCCTCTTCTCTTGATCGCCCTCTCTCTCTTCTCTTGATCGCCCTCTCTCTTCTCTTGATCGCCCTCTCTCTTTTCTCTTGATCGCCCTCTCTCTCCTCTTGATCGCCCACTCTCTCCCCCTCTTGATCGCCCTCTCTCTCTCCTCTTGATCGCCCTCTCTCTCTCCTCTTGATCGCCCTCTCTCTCTTCTCTTGATCGCCCTCTCTCTCTTCTCTTGATCGCCCTCTCTCTTCTCTTGATCGCCCTCTCTTCTCTTGATCACTCTTCTATCACCCTCTCTCACTTCTCAGAGAGAGAGAGAGAGAGGTTACAGCTCAAATGCATTGCAATGACTTCCATGTTAAAAAAAATATTTTAAAAAGCTGAATATTTTAAAAAGTATAACATATTTTGAAAAAGTTGTCAGTTTCCCCATCATGTGCTGAATAGTTTGATATTTGAATGGTTCCTGCAGCTGAAATTAAGCTGAAGGAGTTAAATAAAGACATTAAATGCAAGTAGTAGTGAATGAATGTTTACAAACACCTGTGTGTGTAAACCCAGAGATGAAAGGTTACCATGGTGACGACTTATGACGATTTTCCAACTGCAGCACTGAGTCCCATTAAGAATGCATTGAGGATTATATCTGACAATTTTGCCACCTGTTCAAAAACTATGGCTCCTATCAAAAAATGACCAGACCGTGAGCATCAGGGAACCCCAATGAACTGATATATGTTGTTTTTTTTGGTTTTGTGTGTAAAATGTGGAGATGGGAGCAGTTTGTCTAAAGTGTACCTCTCTCTGTTCTGAAGAAAGTTCCAGAAAGATTTAACATGGGAATCAATTGGGAGCTAGTTGGACTTTTTGTCTCTTCATGCCCTCAAGAGGCATTTTGTTTAATATTTCTTCTTAATTTTTTTTCATTTTCCAACCTAGGAGAGGTTTTCCTACGTTTTTTCATGAAAAAATATGTCTGAGGAGTGTAGGGTTTGGGAATTATGGCAAGTTTAAAACATTTTTGGGGGAGAATTTGAAGAACTGCTGCACTCTGTTTTGAGATCAAAGCACTCTAGACTTAACGAGCTGCTCCATCCACACTAATGTTAAAATCTGAAGAAAGCCTCTTTACCAAGCTCCAAACAAAGTTAATTATCTCAAGAAGTGTAAAAGATATCAAAAATAAAAGTCAATTTTGAATAGCTGAAGGTGTTGTGATCATTTGAAAGTTGGAATGAAGTGTCTAGCTGAAAGTATGTGGAAGGAGTAGCATTTGGCGCAAAGTGTAGGAAAAGAGGATTTGAAGGCATCTCCCATTGACTTCAATGTTAAAAAAAAGAGTTTAAAAAGCTGAATATTTCAAAAAGTATAAAATATTTAAAAAAAGTTGAAGGTTTCCCATCGATTCCTGAACAGGCTGAATAGTTTAATATTTGAATGGTTTCTGTAGCTGAAAATAAGCTGAAGTTATGGAGTGCCAAAGTATTGGCTGAAATAATAATAATTTTAAGCGGAAAGAATAAAGAAATTGAAGTACTATAGTGGAATGCTGTGGCACAGCATTCGCACTAATAAAGATTTGAAGTACTATAGTGGAATGCTGTAAACAGCATTCGCACTAATTACCACATTTATGTTGATACACTTGGAGCCATAAGAGGGAGAGAGAGCAAAGAGTAGATCACAGAGAGAGGAATGAACAGAATGACTCCAAAATGGTGGAATGAGCTCCCCATTGACATCAGGACAGCAGAAAGCTTACACATCCTTTGGCGCAGACTGAAAACTCATCTCTTTCGACTCCACTTCGAGCAATAAAATTACTAACTAAGCACTAATATACTAACAAAGCACTTATATACTAATAAAGGACTGGCTTATCTAAAGCCAGTTGAGTAGCACTTGAAATGTTTTGGCTCTCTGAGACCTGATATGATTCTGTTTTCTTCAAGTTTGTATCTTCTTGGTCGAATGCACTTATTGTAAGTCGCTTTGGATAAAAGTGTCAGCTAAACGCAATGTAATGTAATGATGGCGAATGATTTATTTACCTTTACTTTAACAAAATATTGAGAACATACATTTTCAAAAACATGAGTTTCCTGATTATAATGTGGACCATTCATTGGAACATTTAATCTGATTCTCATGCAGTACTTCAAAGATCACTTGTGCTGCTGCCCACTGACATGGTTTTAAATCTAAATGCACATATCTACAGCAGGGAAATGGGCGTGCCCTGGGTTTGTCTATTATGCTGCTGTAACAAAAACAATTTCCCAATTTGGGATCAATAAAGTTCTATCTATTTATAAAATCCTACGTACTGCCGTGGTTGGGATGAACCTACAAGGTTTCGTTAAGGGACCGTCAATACTTTTGAAAAACAAACAACTATTACATTTGTAACACCTCTCTGCTTACTCACTCAT